CCCGTGGCCCGCCTCCCGGCATGATCCCTCCTCCGGGGTATATGAACGGCCCTCCCCCCGGCTTCCCTCCTATGCCACCCAACCCAGAGGCCATGATGGGACTTGGACCTGGTGGCCAGGGACCTTTCGGACCGGGCAACCCAGGCCCGCAAGGCCCTCCTCCTTCGTCCCGACACCTGCTTGAAATGTTCGGCCAGCCCAACGGCGGTGACCCCCGTGGCGGTATGGTCGGCCCAGGCCCATTCAGGTAGACGGTCACGTCTTAGAAACGGATCTTGTTTACATATCCTTACCCATTAACTGCCACATTCGCAATTTATGATTATCCGCGCCAGTTTTTGGAAAGTTGATGTAACCAAATGCTCATGATCTTCGTTTCTCATCTACGCCCACCTAAACACCACAGAACGCACCCCCCATTGAGATATCAGAATACCCTTTTCTTTTCCATGCCACGTTTTTCTCTTCTCTTCTCTGTATTTGCTGATGCCCTTTGGCACACCGATGCCCGTGTCCGATAACTGTTCTCCACCCTCTCCCCCGCGTTTAAGCCTTTGCTGCGTTGGCTTTGGCTACCTTGGTGATTTTCTTTTTCTGCATTTCTTATGGGGGCTTCCCTTTTTTCTTCGGTGTTCTTCAAATTTCCCATAAGGGGTGTGCGTTCTCGCTGTGTTTCTGGTGCTGGCTGTGTGGAATGAATCAATATAACCGTCTCATTGCGGTTAAGGAAATGCCTCGATGGAGCTTTCGGTGGATTGGTTTCTATGATCTATGATCTATGGTCTATGGGGTCTCCGGCCTTGGCTGGTTCTCGGTAGATCTATACCCCGTTTTCCATAGATGACGGTTTAGTCTCGAATCTATCCATTGCTTGGTCGGGATTTTAATCTCTGTAGTGTGATCGTAGGTCGAGTTTAGCTTTCTGCTCTGTTAGCTATCTTATTTGCGTAGTCTGGCCTGGTTCGGGCTAGGTGAGATAGACCCCTATTCAGGCGGGATATGCAGTAGTACTATTGAGGCTAGTGTTAATGTTGACCATTGCTTCTGCAGAATATGTGGAGAAGCTTGGCCTTGCAAATTGCAAGATTCGAGATGGATCTGATGCGTTAAAGCTAAGATTGAGTTAAATCCTTACCGAACCACACCGAGGAATCGCGAACCGCTCCAGATCCTGTGTCAAAAACACATGAGAAGCCCCCAGGCTTTGTTTGCCTTGGCTTTCACTCTCTTATTTGTAGGAATTGGCATCTTTGATAAGAGATGCATGAAAATATATCCATGGATGCTCCTTTGATCTGTAGTTTGCACAGAGTTTGGCAAAATACACAAAGTTTTGCTGGGCAGTTTTACTTAATAACCATTTACGGCCTGTTCCTATTTATCATCACTTGATATTGATGTCTGCTGAGATCAAAATGGTTGATACATGAGGGCTCTGCCATCCACGTGACGAGTTTTGCCCGCATCGGGATATAGAATCACAGAGACTTATGTTGTAGCGATACCCCGGCAGTACATGGTAAATCAAGTTAAAATTGGCAATCAATCCTCTCTCCTTTCTCATGAAGATACATGCTCATCTAGGATATTGTGCTAATTGGCGTGCAAGCTGATGAATTACTCTAAAAAGCTTCAAGGCAATTATACCTAGGTCTGTAAGTAGTATCCTGGGTATTAGGCAATATAGGAAGGGGACATCTAAAGCGTCATCTGTCCTTGATATAAGTAAATCTTTGGTTTAAGGAGAAATAATGATATTTTTGCTTGGTTTGGATCTCTTCGTCGTCGCCTCCCCGACAAAGCACTCGAGGCATCACGTGCACATTGTGCCCTCGATACATCTGATGGCTGACCATTCAAAGCAGTTGAAGATACGTCCATCTGAGCTAAAGTACCTTTCATGATCCTTACCACTGCTCACATGCTAATAACGTCGCGACAACGCAGTCGAACCAAGCGATACATCACCAAATATTTCCATGCAGCGCCATCATTTTTCTTCATTTACTGGCTGTCCAATTTCTGTGCTTCATCATTGACCAAGGGAAAAGATTCCTCTTACGAGGCTCTGTGCTGACCAGCTAAACAGCAAAAATGGACGTGGAAGAGCTCGAGGTCTATCTTGTGGTTGACAAGAATCTTGTAAGCAAACAAAAGATATCCACCCAACTCACAGCTTTGTGGTTCTCCAGCTGACCTCTTCCCTCCGCTTGTTTATGCTCCAGGTTGCAAGTATTCAAACCAACTTTGTGCCCGAAGCTGTGCTACGCTCCACGAAGGCTCCAAAGCGCGATCAGCCATTGAACATGTCGCCCAATCCTCGTGTCAAACGCAAGCTGCACTCGATGACCCTACGCTCTGAGTCGCGTCGAGCTTCCGAAGACGCTCCTGTGTCTTCATCTTCCTCCTTGTCACCTCCCTCCTCATCTCTCATAGCAGATGCTCGACCAATTACGCGTGACAACCCATCCCTAACAGGTAAGTTTTCCATATTCATCCTGGTTTATATCTCGTCCCGAGTGTTGAACAGCGTCTAATCGATCCGATAAAATTAGAGGGCCCTCTATTCCATGAGACAGATAATGAGAGGCTTCCTGGGGCCTTCAACCCTTCACTCTCGATGAATTACGCAAGTCCTGTCCAATTCCCATTCACTCCAGCCAGCACCGGAAATCGGGCTTGGGCAACGCGCCGTCCAGCCAGCTACGACTTCCCCATTTACGAAGAGCCATGCGAGCGACGATCTCCCAGTCCGGTCCACGAAGACGAATACCTGGGCTTCAGTCCCCAGGATGAGGACAAGGAGAACGTATTTGCCACACGCTCTGATCTGAGCTCTTCGGACGATGAGCCCCAACAGTCCCCCATCTTGAACCAGACCGCAACAAGCCACCGCGATGCCTTTGGCATCCCACTAGCCCACCAAATCTCCGACTTCATCGAGAGCAACGACGCCAACCCCGATGCAAATCTTCTCGCCCGTCCTGAACGCCTAGTGCTGCGACCTATCTGGGTTCCAGAGCCAGAGGAGCCTGAAGAAACTGCTGAACTCTACGATGATAGTATTACTCGGACTCAGATTCGGGAGATTGAGGAAGTCGAGGCGCTCTACCAGCGCGGCGATCGAAACCGTGCTCGCAACAACCGTCATGCTGCTTTCCGTCATGGCACGCCCGTTCAGGCTCGGACCAACTTCAATACTGATATTCGTCGGATTCCTGAGCCGCAGCGTCGTGAAGCTCATCGTAGCTCTCTCGATGCGGACGAGGAGGAGCATTGATATGGGATTAATATGATTTCTTGAGCTTGAACCTGCCATTGAGTGATGCCTGTATGTCGGATTCACTCTGATATTAATTTTCCTGTCATTTGTTTCGATTTGCTATCATGCTTTATCCTGTGTATGAGTAATCAGCGCATTTTTAATGTTTGTTTAGAAGCCTTTGCTCTTCCCTGATTTCTTCGGTAGACCTGGTGCATGATTCTCTTCAGATATATCTGTTAGCAACTGCTTTGGCTTCTTTCCCAGCCAATTTTCCAGACTTGAGCGTAGGCAGGTAGAATGACTGAGGTAGCACCGACTTGATATCGACGTAATCTATCAACCTTAAGATCTTCAAAGTTGCCCCTTTCACTGATCAACATACATTATGATAAAGGTGGTAAGTCATCAAAAGTCAAGGGAATTTATGATCCATGTGGATTTGATCTTTCGGGCTGATTCGATGATTTTGACATATTCTATATCCTAGCCACATATGTAAGATTAAACTGTCCGTTGATCTGTTCGGATTACCTTTTATGTTGAAGACAACAGTGTCATGAAGGAATCAGAAATAAGAGATAGCCCAACAAGACACATCAGTCCTGAGATTTCACACAATACCTTCAGAATATCAGACGATATACTGATATCCACCATCGTACCAATACCCTATTCCTACCAGTGTTCTTTGCCGCTCTCGATTTTGCTTAGACTGTCATTGGTATACTTTGATTCTATAACTAGTGAGGGATAAATTGTCTTCATCAGCATTTGCCGTAGCCAAATCTGAGCATAAGTTCGAGTTAATGAGTTAATAACATAATGCAAGAAGCTTCTATTTCTTCAATACTTCTTTTGCACCTTCGATTAAACGTCACTTCACATTAAACCCCACGTTCTATCGAATTTCCTCCTTCCATTTCATATTTCTTGCTTCCTTTACTACTTTCAAAGGTTTCATCTAATTGCCTACAGTGCCTTGGAAACTCTTACCTCAATCAATCTGACGTCTACTCATCACAGTCGTAAGTCCAACACTTTCTCAGCCGGTTCTATTCCCATGAAGTGCTCTTTCATTTCTCTGCACTCGCTCACTTCCTACTCACTTTTTATCTCCCATTTCTTTCCAGCCGGTTTATACTTCTTTTCTCACACTCTTCTTAACCCATCCTCTGACACCTCGTCCTCTTACAACTTTCGTCCTCTTACACCTTCATCCTCCTACACCTCCATGTTCCTACACCTCCATGCTCCTACACCTTCATGTTCCTACAGCTTTATCAACTATCTTCCAAGGTTTTACAACGTTCATCCTTACACCCTTTACTTCAAACTTTTCGAGATCATCTTTCAATTCGAAAACTTGCTCCGACACCTCCTCTTGCTTCGCGATATTGCGCATTACCCAATACCGCTTGACTCATTCATCAATCTTTCCCTTAATATTTTCAACGCTTCCTCTTCCTTTCCCTTTTTTCCCCCACGTATCCTCAAGAGAAGTCTCACCCCGCGCAGCTTTCTCTCTACTTCCACCGACGGTTTTGTACAAGACAAAACCAACCGATCAATTACTCTCTCTCTACGCTGACTTCAGTCGATTCTTTGCCCCGGACCCAACTCACATGTGCTTTTCCCGTGAGATACTCATTGCTCGAGTTTTTAACCTCGATCCTCTTCTCACTCGGGTTTCTTTCTAGGTACCAGCCAAGGTGACCCAATCCCGCCTTTTCATCCGATGGATTCCCAAGACCAAGACCATGATAATGGTGGGTGCAGCCCCCTGTCTGTGAAGCAGGAGCCAGGCGAGCCAGAAAATGGTTAGTACTGCCAAGGATATGTTATGAGCTTGACTAAGACTTCGAATAGCAGTTCCGAATGCAGGAAAACTGCATTGTCCCAAGCCAAACCCTGCTCTGCTGGAGACCATTAGGGCCAACAAAGACCGACCCGAAAGCCGACCAGACAATATTGAGCAGGAGATACCGAGTGAGCAGCAGGAAGAAAAGCCTCATGACAAGCAAAGCTCGTTAAATACTCAAGGTGAGACACCTGGGTTTGACTTACCGGGAATTCAAAACATGGGCGACAACGTGGTCAGCAATGAGGACGGCGATGGGGAAGAAGACGAGGAGCACTGGGAAACAGACAATGGAAAAGGCAGTGGAGAAGACGATAAGCAAAACCGGGAGACGGACATTTCGGAACCTGCACTCAAAGATTGCACCGGCTCGAAAGACAAAGACGAGATGCCCACGCCAAATGAAGACCGGGCATCTAAGCCAGACGAAGAGGAGACATCCAAGCTAGACGAAGGCAAGTCCTCCAAGCCAGACGAAGACGATACCTTCATGCCAGACGAAGACGAGGGTTTCATGCCAAACGGAGACGATACCTCCTTGCCAGACGAAATCGATACCTCCGTGCCAGACGAAGAGGATGGTTCCAAGCATGTCCCCTCCCCGGCAAACAAACTCTGGGATATTGTATTGAGCTAATGATATCAGATACAAAGCTACTCAAATGTGGTTTCTTAGGCTAAAGAACCCCTCTCACGACGACAAAGCTCGATTTGACCTTGCAAAACAGCAAGAAGCCGCGCGAATGTCCCAAATAGAAGAACAAAGGCTCCTTGATGAGGACCTCCAGTTTGAAAAGGAAATGAAAGAGCTCAATCATCTAGTTGACATCGACTCGGAAATGGAATTTCAAGAGGTGTCAACAGACGACGAGCCTCAGGAACGAGCCCCGAAAAAGCCGAGTTCAAAGCCAAAGCCAAAGCAAGCTACAAAGGCTCAGATATCGAAAAAAGAACTTAATAGGGCATCCGATATTGGTCTTCGGCATTTGCTTGCCAAGCATGAGGAACAGCAGATCCAAAATTCGAGTGACAAAAAAGGGATCAAGAGTATCTTACAACATAAGACGAAAAAGTCCCCAAAAAAGACGACAAGGGTATCAAACGATGATATTGAAGGACTTTTCTACCATGATATCGTCGCTAGTGCTAACGCGAATGCTTCGATGGCCGAGCTTCCTGGGTCTGATAAGAAGGACAAGTCAAAGGCCCTAGCAGAAATCATCGCTAGTCTTCCAGTCTCCGATCGAGAAGAAGCCAAATCAGACAAGAAACAATGCATTGAAGCCTCAAGAAGGTTCCAGCCAGCCGCGAAACTCGTGGGAAAGGCCTGGAAGATCAAAGGACTGGAAACGCACTTGTACCACTACCAGGTGAGTAATCACCAGCCTCTCACTATCCCTCAATTCGGGCATATGACTAACAAATGGAGTAGCTCCTTACTGTTGCTTGGATGGTAAATCTCAACTCTTTTTTGGTTGGTCTCTGGTACAGAACGAGCTGACATGTATAGCGTGATCGTGAGAACTCTACTGACGCGCCAAATGGTGGCTTGCTGTGTGACGAGATGGGCTTGGGGAAGACACTCACAGCGATAGGTGAGTATGCCCAATATGGACAATTGTGTCACCGGGAGGGGAGGCTTACTTTTACAGCAAATTTTGTGGAGGGACGTTCTGCAGCCAACTCCGAAGGCCCGACTTTGATCGTGGTCCCCAGGAACCTGGTCACGCACTGGTTTGCCATTCGACCTCAAAGAGAGAGTCTCAAGAAGCTAATCTTCACAGGCTCAATCAACTTACCACGCACTGTGATGGGAAAACGGTCAACCCGGTCGCGTACCATGCCGGTTCGCGAATGCGGGCCAGTGATCTAGGAGCTTGGTTTCAAGACCAGGATGTTGTGTAAGATATACCCTAGCCGGGCTTTTGATTGATTCAAACTTACAAGATCTACAGTGTTACGACATATTACGAAATTTGCAATTCATACCCGACCATGAAGCCACCAGAAGGGCTTAAAACCCCCGAAGGTATCCAAGAATGGTGGCAGCAGTTCTATGTTGAGCATCTCGGGGCATTTCATGAAATTACGTGGCACCGCATTATTCTTGATGGTAACCATTCAACCAGAGATTACAATACCTCTCCAGCTAACGCTTTATATAGAGGCTCACATCATCAAGAATCCGAATTCGAAGACCTCTATTGCAGTCCGGGCCTTAAGTGCGACGTATAAATGGGTCTTGACTGGAACTCCTTTGCACAAGTAAGTCAAAATCCCCACTGAGGCTTAATACTGGATTTCCAAAAACTGATTCTGCTTTAGTTGCATTGAGGAGTTCTATCCTTACTTCGAGTTCATTGGTGTCCCGGCAAGCGTCCCATACGATGCCTTCGCACAAAACTACTGCAACGTTGGTCGTCTCTCACTCGTCTCAGAATAGCTGACATTGACATCAAATTTAGGACGGCCAGTTATCCCATGATAGACTGATCGCCATGCTTCGTCTCGTGCTTCACCGAAAAACCCATGACAGCCGCATGTTCAAATTACCGCTCATACATCTTCCAGGGATTGCTCAGCAAGAAAAGCTTCTTGAGCCTAATTCAGCGGAGAAATATCTCTATGAAAGGATACATCAGTTCTGTATCGATATGATCAATGGTAAGACACAGGTTCCGGCAAAAGAATTGACTGGTGAGCAGCGACTGACACTTTACTAGGCTTGGTTTCAGACAAGGGCAAGCAGTTCAAGTGCTTTCTCACCATGATCCTCAAGCTTAGGATGTTTACAAGTCACATACTCGCTGCCCAGGACATGGTCAAGCGGGTTATTGATCAACCTGGGGTCATCCAGAAATTGAAACACCTCGCGAAGGGGCAAGGAAACTCCCCCTCAGCTAGCACAACTAAGCTTCTTATTGCCATGAAGTCCAAGGTTTCTCTGCCTTGGATGTCTGTTCCCACTCAAGTTGAGGATTCGTTCGATCGACCACGACCTCCGGCAAGCAATATCAACCTCCGAGAAAAGCTGCGGGCAGAACTGGATAGTCTTCATCAACGGAAAAGGTGGAATGAGCGTCTACAGCACAGTGAATGCCCTCGTTGCGGATCCCCACCCGTGGAGTCCGTTGTCCTTACCGCCTGTCTCCATCTCTATTGCGAGCAATGCTTTGACGAGCTTCCTGATGAAGATGGAAATACCGACACAGTCAGTCGGCTTTGCCGCATTTGTCAAATGCCCATCACAGAGGCCAGTTTCTACAAAGATATATCCGACCCAGTTGAACTCCCCAAGCAGCAGTGCACGGCCCAATCTCCTGAAACAACCTTCATGAAAAGGAAGAAATCAACACCCAAGAAGACAGCAAAGGGCAAAGCGAAGCGGCAGCGAAAGAGCCCCAAGGTCGACAAAAGGCCATCAAAGTTGCGCATAATCGACGGCATATCAGATGAGGAACCGGATGACTCAAGCGAAGACGAAATGGATCTCAAGTCCGATTGGATTCGCTACATTGGCTATCAGATGCCTAGCACAAAGCTTGACGCAATCAAGGATCTGGTCGACAAGTGGGTGAAAGAGGACAAAAAGGTCAAAATTGTGATCTTCACACAGTTTCTGGCATCGGTAACCCTCATCGAGTATTTGTGCCAGACAAATGCATGGGGATATACAAAGGCAAGAATCTGGAGCATTATCTGCCAGTCATCACTAACATTGTTTTCCTACATAGATGTCCGGAAAGATGTCCTTTTCGTCGCGAGAAGATCAGGTCAAAGATTTCCGAGATGATGAGGATATACATGTCCTCATCTCTTCCCTGAGAACTGGTGGAGTTGGCCTCGATCTCTCTATGGCAAACAAGTGCATCATGGTCGACTTGTGGTGGAATGAAGCTATACAAGACCAGGCAAGTCATGAAAGATGAGCTCGAAGCGTTGATATACTAACTCTACTCAAAAAGAGGCATACTGTCGTCTCTACCGTATCGGCCAAGTTCGCGAAGTTGAGTATGTCAAGCTGATCACGAAAGGCACCATTGATGAGCTTCTCTTTGATATTCAGAGGAGAAAGACCAAGAAAATCAACACGGTAATGAGTCAGAGGGCTCTCACGGGGACTAACTCTATGATGGAGTTACTTTCCATGTTTGGACAGGTGACCGAGACCCCAGGTGGTGCCTTTCGAATCTCAGCTTTCAATCCGGAAGAGAAAGCCAGATTCTGGGAGCCCATTCGCAAACGGAACGACACGATCTGAACGGCAGAAGAGTCATGAAGGGGGAATGAACCGTTGAGAAAATTATTGAAAAAGAGCAGAAAGTGAAAAAGAGTGGGATGAGGGGAGAAGAGCAGGGGAGCAGGGGAGTAATTGGGGGTTGGCATTCAGTTTGCTATTTGCTATTCAGTTCGTATGGTGGACGGGGAAAGGATGTGACATTCGACCAACTCCAGTCGCTCATTATGGCTATGCAAAGCCACTCGATATTAGAATGTCACCTGATGGAAAGTACATAGGACACTCATTTATTTTAGCTAGAAACACGCTCGTTGATACCCACACGCTGATACATCAGGTCCGCTCTATATAGCACCGATTTTTGGTTATTTCCTGCCCCTACAGCAAAGGGAAGATCTGGCTGCTATAATAGCTGTGAACGATAGAAAGGGTCCAATGTATATGTACTTTGCACTAGACATGAGATATGAATAAATGTTACATTGCGAATATTTAAGCGCAGTAAACAAATCCCGTAACTTGAACAAGTTCGAGGCACACCGTAGATGAGAAGAAGAAATAAAAACCGCTGACGATAGCGCCTTGAATGCTCGGTACCAGACCAGACCAATAAAAGACAGACAAGGAAAAGAATGGTATCACAGAAGCGGAATGAGACAGCAGGACACAGGAGACAGGGTCTAATAAAAGAGAGAAGATGATTCAAAAATTACTTGAAGAAACGATATTTCTTGTCTTTCTTTTCTTTCTTTTCCTTTTCTTTGTCTTTCCTGTTTCCGCCGCCGGATGGTACAGGGCTGCTTCCATTCGAGTTGATGGACATACCAGCCATCAGCGCTTCTGGTGGAGCGGGAGGGTTCAGGTGCGCTGTGGGCACGGGCTTCTTCTTCTGTTGCGGCGGGGGAGTAGGAGTTGGGGGTTTCTCGCGCTCGAAGAGGTGGGCCGGAGCGGTGGGTTTGGGTCGCTCCATTGGGAGATCGAGACGGCGTCTGTCGACGCTGAGATCACCCACTTGGCGTAGGAAGAGGCCGGGGCTCAGCATATGCGTTGTGACGAGGAAGACATCCCTATTGTATGTCGAGGAGATCTCGTGGCAGGCGCGTGACTCGCCGTAGGTGGCGCCGCCGGCCATGAAGACGATGATGCGCTGACGAGGTTGGTCGACGGATCTTGTGCGTGCCCAGGTTGGCTTTGCACTGCGCAGAGATGCCTGTTGGGACATCATTTCTTGTGCTGCTAAGGCGCTATCGGTCTCGGTATGCGGCCGCGTGAAGGGGAACACGGTTGGGTCTAGGGTGCCGCGGATCTGATCTTCGAGCATCAGCTTGATAGCCAGATCATATCGACTCAGGCTGAGCTCCTCCGATTCGGGGACTGGGTTTCGTCGGCTAAAGAGAGGTTGCACTGGTGGCTTTTCGTCGCGGAGAGGCTTTTCCACTCGCACGCCAAGGAGTTCGAGGTTGGCAATGACGTTTCCGTCCTGTGGCGGGAGTCCCGCATGTGCCATGAGTTTGCGGATGTCACCACCAAGAAGTCCACCGCGGTAGATGATATACAGGAGCAGTAGGCGGAGTCGGTCTGGGGGCACGACTGAGTCGTCGTCCAGGAGCTGTACGAGTTGCGCTGCCAGATTCTTTGCCTTTTTGTAGTTTTCATCGAGGCCGGTAGCAAAAGACTGTTGGATGGAGCTCACTTCCAAAAGCTTGCGATCTTGGAAGTACTTCATACACTCTTGCGCCATGTTGAGATGCAAGGTATAGGCATTCTTTCCTTCTTGGAACTCTGTAAGTCCCGCCAACATTTCCTTGATGGTGTTTACGTTGTGCTTGTCGTTACTGCAACCCACGTTAGTAGTCTCATTCGCATGACGCCGGGTGATTCAAACTCACTCATCAGCGAATTGCGGGTTTGCTGCTCGGAACTTCGCAAAATCCTCACCCAATTTCCCAAGCACATCCTTCATATGCATGTGGCGGTAATCCACCCAGACACGGTCTTCCTCTCCAATTTCCATCTCCTTTACTTCCTCGTTCTTAGAGCCCTCGTTGACAACTGTCTTGTAAGTGACCTTGTCTCCATCTTTGATGGGCAGCAGGTCATGAACCATGGCTTGATATGTGAACTCATGCAGGAGAGGCGCGAAAAGGTCCATAGAGCGGTCCACTACAATGAGTACTCCCCGAGGCCGGTTTGTTTGGGGTGGGAAATCGCGTTGGAATTGCGCGAATTGATCCATTTCAGTTTGGATAAAACGAGCCAGGTGGGAGCACATAACACCAGCTTCGTGAGTAGGAGACCGTGGTCGATAGTATCGAATGATAGGGTATTCACCCAGCGAAGCGCAAAGCGAGACGATCTTGGTACAAGTCAGTGCGGGCTCAACTGCTTTATTCCAATCCTCCTACCTTTTGAGCCAGATCCTCCAAGTGACGTCGGATCAGATTGTTACAACCGGGGTGAAACAGGACCGGGAAGCTCCAAGGATCCCTGAATGTGATGAGGCGTGATTCTCGGGGGTAGAAATTGATGTTCATGACGTGGAACTCCGCGATGCGCTCGCGCGCCATTTGGGATCGTTCAATACGAGCCCTCTGCTGCGGATCGAGGACTGTAAGCTGCGTCAGCTATACCACAACGCGGAAACCTCGGCTGGGTGGCCCACTGACATGATGTCCACACCAAGAACGCTTTCCTGTATCGCCCAACCTCAAAGTCTGCCATCAGGCAATCCACGACGTATGACTCCGGCGACAAGATGTACAGCGCGTCCATGTCGGCATTGGACGGCCGCCGGTGCTCAATCTGCTCGATGTCTGCGGGTGGCGGTTTGTTTAGCGGAACTGTGCTTCGGTGTCAAGACACGACGTGTGCTCACTGGAGACATTGAGATTTAGAATCTCCTCTTCCTTTACAGCACCATGGACCAATTTCTTGCTGGTCTCATCAACTACCAGGACTTTCCACTGTAAAGGAGACGCTTCCGTCAGTCTCCGCGGTAGAGGGGTCAATAGGAGGGGTCGAGCTCACGTCGTGGCCGCCGGCGTTGCGGATCGTGTTGAGTATAACTAAAGGAGTACAAGGTCAGCTAGGGCTGTGGCAAGAGGCATGAGTAGGGTAGGCCTACTGTCGCGTTGGATGTTAATTATCGAGGTGCCCATACTGGCGGGCCACAACTTGGGGCTTCAGAACAAGGCTGTAGAAGTAGAGAATAGCAAAATGAGACGAATCCTGGCGAAGCTGCAGGCCAGAGACCAAGATGAGAGAGGTCCAAGGTGGCCGTCTGAGGTAAATGAAGGAGACGGGGTTCCCCACCATTTGAGCTTCGCAAGGATGTGGATCTCCGTCGATAAGCAACTTTTTTGCTTTCTTCAACCACCCCGAAACACCAGCGCGTTCCCTTTATTTCTTCATTGTCGCACTCAGTCTCTTCGTTTCTTTGACTGGAACTGAAATCCCAGGAATGCAGCCATGGACCGGAGGTAGTTCCTTGTTCTGCGCTTTGCGGCCCTTGACTCGACCTGCTGTACGATCATTCACAACCACTTCCGTCCTTCAGCGATCAAAGAAATCAAGGAAGCCCGATCCTCAACATGGACACCCAGTGGCAGTTGGGAAATCTCACAAGGTTTGTTCTCTTCCGTCCCATACTATAGCTCAATTCTGATCCATCGCCTACCTAGTCACTTTTCGGCCAACCCGTAGGAGCAGCCGTTCGACAAGATATTGCAGCCGCAAAGGGATTCGCACAAGTGGTGGAAACAGCGCTACGTGATCTACAGCACAAGCTGAAACAAACAGGAGATTCACAGGAGGGGTGGGCCCAATTCGAGCGTCAGATCCTAACCGCGTGCAAAGCGGATGATTCCAAGTCGAAAAATACCTGGGGTCCACTTCGGTCTACAAAGGTAGCGCTGCAGAAGGCATACCTCGCCTCTGGGGCACATGGTCTGCGGGATGAGTTGCAATACATGCTTTACGCAGACAACCTCACTGCCAAGTTTTCGACACCCCTCTTGGAAGCGCAAAAACAAGTGACCGACCTTCGATACCCAGCCGAATGGTATCCGCGCGCACGATCGATCCAACGAACAATCCACCTCCACGTTGGGCCGACAAATTCCGGAAAGACATATCATGCTCTTCAACGGCTGAGAAACAGTAAAAATGGCTTTTACGCAGGGCCATTGAGATTGCTCGCACAAGAAGTATACCATCGGTTCCAGTCAGAAGGAATTCCGACTAGTCTTGTTACTGGAGACGACGTGAAGATTCCCGAGAACGATGTAGTACCGCGCATTGTGAGCAACACGGTAGAGATGGTCAGTCTAGGCCAGAACTACGATGTTGGCGTTATCGATGAGATCCAGATGATCGCCAATTCCACCCGTGGATGGGCGTGGACTCGGGCTTTCCTGGGATGCCAGGCCGAAGAACTGCACGTGTGTGGTGAGACCCGTGCAGTGCCATTGATTCGGGAGCTTTGTGCGCTCACTGGAGATCTTTTGGAAATCCACCGCTATGATCGTCTGAACGGTCTGGAAGTGATGCCACGCAGTCTGAAAGGTAACCTGCATAACCTTCAGAAGGGTGACTGTGTTGTCGTCTTCTCCCGAAAGGGTATCCACGCCATGAAAGCGAACATTGAGAAGACCACTGGAAGACGCGCAGCTATCGTCTATGGTGGTCTGCCAGCAGAGATTCGGACGCAGCAGGCGAACTTATTCAACGACCCGGACAATGATTATGATTTCCTCGTGGCAAGTGATGCCATTGGTATGGGTCTTAACTTGTGAGCTCCTCCCTTGATTTGAATTATGTTCCATACTGACCCACTGTAGGAGCTGCAAGCGTATTATTTTCGACACCCTCGTCAAGCGTACTCCGACTGGCCTTCAACGGCTTACCGTGCCTGAGATCAAACAGATTGGCGGACGTGCTGGTAGATACCGCCCAGCCAATGCCAAAGAAGGAAGTGATGACGGAGCCAATGTGGGATATATCACTTGCATTGAAGAAGTCGATCTTCCATATATTCAACAAGCCCTAAAATTGGAGCCTCCGCCATTGAGTGCGGCTGGAATTCTCCCTGCAGATACCGTCTTCCAGAAGCTCGCTGCTTACTTCCCGACTGGTATCCCTTTCGAATATCTAATCAAGCGAGTCTTGGAACTTTCTCAAGTCAGCCCTTTGTTTTTCATGTGCGACCCCAAAGGTCAACTGGAGAACGCTGAAATCATCGACACGGTGAGAGGACTGCAGATCGAGGACCAGCTGAAATTCATGGCTTCTCCAATGGACCACAAAGATGACAGCTCGCGAGATGTCACGGGTGCCTTTGCGGACTGCGTGTCTAATAATGAGAGTGGACGACTGTTGGATATTCCCCATCTCAACCTGGAAATCATTGAACAGCCTGTTTCCGGAAGCAACGAGTATTTGCGTGAGCTGGAGAGTCTCCACAAGGCCCTCATTCTGTACCTGTGGTTGAGTTTCCGATTCGGTGGTGTCTTCACTGATCGAACTCTCGCCAGTCATGTCAAGGAACTTGTCGAGGAGCGCATGGTTCGTGCATTGACTGAATTCTCCGCCAACAAGAAGATCCGGAAGGGTGCTTCCCTGAAGCGACAGATTGCGCTGCAGAAGCAGTTGCTGGAACAGGAACGTCTTGGTGTTAACAAGGACTGGCTCTCCCGTCCCAGCGGTGAAGGAGAGGACGTTCAATTTAATCTGCCCCAAGAGGATGCTTCGGAGACCGCATCCCCCGACGAGGAGAGCACCTCGGGTATGCAAGACTTGCCGACTGAGAGTGAATCTCACAAGGAGTGAGGAGCATAGTTGTAACAACAGACATGTATATTAGATGTACAAAAGCTTTCTCCTGCAAACAGAAGAATTTACTAACCAAACCTGAGGCAATTGTTGGCATGCGCCACAAATGTCTGACATGCCCCAACTGGGACTACTGCTCTGACTGCGTCGTGGATGCTGTTACGAACCACTCTGGCCACCAATTCATACCTTTCTACAATATCTTTTGTGGTGACCAATGAAGAAGATGGCAATACGTTTGACACGCATGGTCTATTCAATTGTCGACACGATTAGGAACAAAGGGAAGGCATGAAATGCAGGCCGTCGAAATGCCGACGCGACACGCAGAGAGGACATGCCCGTCTTATAGTACAAGCAGACATAGGATTACTTCTTCGCATATTCATCATTCAGTACACAGCCCATCCCCCGCTTGCACTAATCGTCTGCCCTGTAACCCACCTACTCTCCTTGCTTGCCAGCCACGCCACAATGTCCGCCACTTCCTCCGTAGTTCCGACACGATGCTCTATCGGCGTCGCCTTCTTCTGTGCCTCCACCAGCTCCCGCGGGATGTTATCTAGCATCTGAGATTGGACAGGCCCAGGGCTGACGGCGTTAACTGTCGTGCCATTGTGTCCGAGTTCGGCAGCCCAGCACCTCGTCAGCCCCTCGATCGCCGCTTTCGACGAACAGTATACAGAGAGGTTTGCGAACGCCGCTCGAGCGCCTACCGACGAGAGATTGATGATGCGGCCATTGGTCGCCAGGTAGGGTAAGACGGCCTGAGTCATGAGCAGCGTCCCGCGGACATTCACATCGTATACCGAGGCGAAATCCCCGGGTGTGATGTCGCCTAAGGACTTTGCAAGTTCCACACCTGCGTTATTGACGAGGATATGGATCTTCTCCTCCTTCCCGTTCGCTCGGAGCCAGTTGATAGCTGTATCTACGATGGTACTCGGGGTCTGGCAGTCGCCGAGATCACCGCGGATGCAGAGGGCCATGGGATGGTGAGGGAGAGAGGTGATTCTCTCGGCGATACCTTGGGTTAAGTGTTCGCTGCTAGGAGCGGAGTATATGAGTATGACCTGGAGGTCTGTTAGGCTCGGATAGTAAGTTGGGAAGATTCAAGATGGGAAAGAGCTTACATCTGCCCCACGTCGTCCGAGTTCGATTGCGATTCCTGCGCCGATACCTCGAGAACCCCCTGTTACGATAGCTGTGCTACGCTGAAGAGGGAGATGAGAAGACTCGATGGTAGACATGACGGTTCAAGGACAGATAGTCAAAGAGGCATAGTTTTTGGACCACTTTTGAATGAAAGAGGTTTATAAAGAGTAGAAAGTCAAACAATCGGATTTAACCTTGTTTTCGGCGATAATTTTAAATCCGACAATGTTTCTTTTTAACCTTTACGTGACTTTGGTAACGATGAATAGTTAGCATTTTCCTTCCGCAACTTCATCATAGCCAACGTCAGCATCTCTTCCGTGCGCTAGGCGTCAAAATAGGCGTGGCAATAAACTCGCTAGGCACATTTTACGTTCATCACCTACTGGAGTGACTATTTCGGGTTTTTGCTAGTCATAAACTCTTGAGGCCGTAGTTTCTAAAGCGAATCTCCAATATAATAGACCAAATGTATACTACTGCGGATTCCAAGAAGGAGTATGTTTTTCTATAAGAGTTTCTTGACTACGTCTCTTAAGTTCATCTCAATTTTTCACACAGAATATTGGAAACTGCAGCCCAACACCATCACTTTTAGCGTGACTCCTCCGTCGACATATACTATAAAGTCTTGGCGCTCTTCGCTCTTATCTTATCGGTGGCAAGTTCGGCCGCACTAATTTTCCGCGCTCTTGAAGATCCAACTGCGACAGCTTCGCACCCAAGAGCAGTGCAGTGTTTTGCGCACTCGCTATTTGAACGCTTGGTCTACCGGTACAGTCTCCGAACCTCTTTCGGATTGCCATCTCTTGCATCGAGCACCACCATGGACGACCTCGAGTCTCTGGAGCTGTTGTCGCTCGTGTCGCGAGTGACAAATGAGCTCCAGAACTACCTAGGTATCAACGACAAGACCCTCGCCGAATTCGTCATTAATCAGCATTTACAATTCAATGGCTCCTTCCCCGATTTCAAGAAGTCCCTCGACGAGATAGGCGCCGAATTCCCGCAGAGTCTCATGGAGAGTATCGACCGTCTGGTACTCACCATGCATCCCAAGTACAAGGGAAAGAAAGCGGAAAATGGCACTGGAGATGCTGAAGGAAATGACGACATGGACCTGTTGGACGCCTTGGAGAAGAAGTCTCGCGTGTTTAAGGGCCTTGCGGTCCCCGATACCGAGAAACGATGGGAGGAAGAGGATTACACCGATCGCCTAGCGGCAGATGAGGCCGATGCCCAGGCAGGCGCAATGGACGACACATTTGCGATGCTTGAGGGGTTGGCTGGGAAAGCGAAGCAGGACACGTCGCGTGCAACAAGAGACGACCGCGACAGCAAGAAACGGAGCCGCAGCCCCGAGTATAACGACCGTGGGCGGCGGAGAGACAAATATCGTTCGCGATCAAGGTCACGAAGTGCCCAGCGACACGGCAAAAACGACGACTACCTGGATGAGTTTGGCAGATCGATTGGCAAATATGGCAGCAGGGATGACCGGCGGAATGGTCGCAGTGACCGTCGGAGACGTGACCGCGAGGGCGATGATGACTTCCGCCGTGCCCCTCCAGTCGAGCTGGATGATCATCCGGTACTCTACAAGGTCTACGATGGAGTCGTCACGGGCGTGAAAGACTTTGGTGCTTTTGTGAACTTGCAAGGCGTCAAGGGGAAGGTGGACGGTCTTGTTCACGTTTCTGCCATGCAAGAAGGAGTGCGAGTGAACCATCCTTCAGATCTGGTCTCGCGTGGACAACCAGTGAAGGTCAAAGTCGCAAACATTCAAGGCACCCGTATTGGACTATCCATGAAGGAAGTGGACCAGGCGACAGGCATGGATCTTGTCCCCCAGAAGCGCCTTGCTTCGGGTGCCAACATGGAACGTCTCGATGGTACATCAGCAAATGACCGATACGGCAATCTCAGTTCTGATGTGCCTATCGTTGAAGAGTCTGGTAGTCGGCCGATGAGAAACCGCAAGCGTATGACTTCGCCAGAGAGATGGGAGATCAGGCAATTAATCGCCTCTGGTGTTGCCTCTGCGGCAGACTACCCCGACATTGACGAGGAATATAACGCAACCCTCACTGGCGAAGGCACCTTCGAAGAGGAAGAAGATGTCGACATCGAAGTCAGGGACGAGGAGCCTCCTTTCTTGGCTGGCCAAACGAAGCAATCCCTCGAACTCTCTCCTATCCGTGTTGTTAAGGCGCCTGATGGATCAATGAACCGTTCCGCGATGGCAGGAACTAACCTTGCTAAGGAGAGACGTGAATTGAAACAGCAAGAAGCGCAGGACAAGGCGGCCGAGCGGGCAGCCGATGTCGACCTCAACGCACAATGGCAGGATCCCATGGTTGCACCAGAGGAGCGGAAGTTTGCCGCCGATTTGCGAAGTGCCCAGCAACCCAAGCAGGACGAGGCAGTGCCGGAGTGGAAGAGGGTGACGATGGGCAAGAACGCGACATTCGGAATACGAACCACCATGTCCATCAAACAACAACGGGAGAGTCTGCCCGTATACAAGTTCCGCAAGCAGTTGCTAGATGCAGTCAAGGACAACCAGTTGATGATTGTTGTGGGAGATACAGGCTCTGGAAAAACCACACAATTGACACAGTACCTTGCTGAGGGCGGCTGGGCAAACAATGGTATCATTGGTTGCACTCAGCCTCGCCGTGTTGCTGCCATGTCCGTGGCCAAGCGTGTGGCCGAGGAAGTGGGCTGCAAGCTCGGAGCAGAGGTTGGATACACAATCCGTTTCGAGGACTGCACTAGCCCGGACACCAAGATCAAGTACATGACCGACGGAATGCTCCAGAGAGAAATTCTTTTGGACCCTGATCTCAAGAAATATTCCGTCATCATGCTTGACGAGGCTCACGAGCGAACTATCGCGACTGATATCCTGTTCGGATTGTTGAAAAAGACAATCAAACGCAGATCCGATCTTAGACTAATCATCACATCTGCCACTCTGGATGCTGAGAAATTTTCCGAATACTTCCATGGCTGTCCCATCTTCTCGATTCCCGGCCGAACTTTCCCCGTCGAAGTCATGTATTCCAAAGAGCCCGAGTCGGACTATTTGGATGCTGCTCTTATCACTGTCATGCAAATTCACTTGACAGAACCCCAGGGAGACATTCTGCTTTTCTTAACGGGACAAGAAGAAATCGATACAGCATGTGAGATCCTGTTTGAGCGTATGAAAGCTCTAGGTTCTACTGTTCCCGAATTGGTCATCTTGCCTGTCTATTCTGCACTTCCCAGTGAGATGCAGAGTAGGATTTTCGATCCTGCGCCACCAGGTGGCCGAAAGGTTGTTATTGCAACCAACATCGCAGAAACCTCTATCACTATTGATCAGATTTACTACGTCATTGATCCCGGATTCGTGAAGCAGAATGCCTACGACCCGAAGCTCGGTATGGATTCTCTTGTCGTGACTCCAATTTCACAGGCCCAAGCCAAGCAACGAGCTGGTCGTGCCGGACGAACTGGGCCAGGAAAGTGTTTCCGACTGTACACCGAGGCCGCTTACCAGTCCGAAATGCTTCCCACCACCATCCCTGAAATCCAGCGTCAGAACCTCTCACATACTATTCTCATGCTTAAGGCCATGGGAATCAACGATCTTCTCCACTTCGACTTCATGGACCCCCCTCCTACCAACACCATGTTGACAGCACTCGAAGAGCTATATGCATTGTCAGCCCTGGATGACGAAGGTCTCTTGACTCGACTTGGACGCAAGATGGCCGATTTCCCCATGGAGCCTGCGCTTGCAAAGGTGCTCATCGCGTCTGTGGACTCAGGCTGCTCCGAGGAAATGCTCAGCA